GGCCAACATGAACACCAGGGTGGTCAAGGACAAGTCCTGGGTGAGTGTTAGTTTCCTTGCTGCCTTCTCAGAAGAGGTACATCTGAGCAGAGCCCGGGAGGCTGAGTAGGGTAAGCCAGACAGACAAGCTGTGGGCCGGCATTCCAGGTGGAGAGAAAAACATGAACCCAAGTGTGGAGGTGTGTGAGAACGTGGCTCGCGATGGAGCTGCCAAGAGTTAACTGAGGCTGGGCCTGTGGAAGAGCATGGCCATCAGAGACTAGAGATGCTGGGGGAAGGATGCTGGGCTCGCCTGGAGGATGGCAGAGAGCTGCTGAGGGGTGTAAGCAGAGGGAGAGGTATGCTACCATCTGCATTTTAGAAATTCCACTTTGGGGGCCAGGTGGAAGATGGACAGACAAGAATGGTGTTGACATAGGGAGATCAGGGACAAGGCCCTCAGACAGGTACCAGCTAGCCATGCTGTTACTGCCACCAAGATTTCTTTTTCTCCAGCTTCGTGTGCTATGGACCTTTTTGGGCCCTGGAGTATTGGAGAAGAGACTGCAATTGATCTGGTTTAGAAACCGATATGAGGGAATTTTCTCAGAAAATGAAAAAGGCTTAGAGGTAAAAATAAAAACTGCACGTAATACCTCACTCCCCATGATAAGTTATTGTCAGGAGAGGTAGGGAAACCAAACTAATAATGTGAACTTTGGGGAGATTTTTGTCCTTAGAGAGTCCAGCTAGTGCTCTTTGAGGCCTCTTGGCTTCTTCTAGCAACTTCACCATCCAAAGATCCATGGATAATTTGAAGCTCTTCGTCTTCGTCTTCATCTTCATCTTCATCTTCATCTTGGCACTGAGAGGTTATGGCTCTGGTCCTCACTGAATTTGGCATTTATAGACAAGTTAATTAGTTAACTATTACTCTAGAATTCAGTATCTAAACAATAAACTTTTATCATCTCTCAGATTCTTTGGAGTCAGGAATGCGGGAGCAGCTGACCAGGGTGGTCCTGACCCTGGGTCGTCCATGAGGTTGCAGTTGGTTATCTACAGGGCTGCAGTCATCATGACTGGAGACCCCCTTCTAAGCTCACTTCTTGGTTTGGACTGGCTTCATTCTCTTGGCTGTTGTCTGGATTCTTTAGTTTCTCCCCACATGGGCCTTTTCACAGGCCACCTGAGTGTCCTTATGTGATGGCAGCTGGATGCCCCAGAGTGAGTGATTCCCGAGAGAGACGGTGCACGCACGATGGAAGCCCAATCTCCACAGGGAGGTGCCACCACTTCCAGAGCATCCTCTCGGTTAGATTAAGTCTCTGAGTCCAGCCCACAGCGAGAGGAGGGCCGGGGAGAGGAGTGCATCTCCACCTCCGGAAGGGAGCAGATGAGCAAAGAATTTGTGGGTGTATTTTTAAAATCCCCCTAAGGACCTTATTTCATCTTTGATAGATGATATGACACAGTGCTTAAGAGCATAAATTTCAGGTCCATAAAGACTTAGGTATAATCCTGTCTCCCACATTTGCTACTTAGTAGGTTTAGAAAAGCCATTTAACTTTTTGGATCTCAATTTCCTAATCTATGAGATAGGGGTAAAAATAGTAGATGTTTCACTGCATGGCCATGAAAATGAAATAAGATCATATATGTAAAGTGCTTGGCACAGAATCAGTACTGAATAAACATTATGTAATTGCTGTTGTAACTGGATGATAGCGTCCTTCGCAAGCAGCAGGAGAGCAGAGAGGTTAGTTAAGAGCACCGGTTATGGAATCGGACTGCCTGGGTGGGCCTCGGGCTGGGCCAGCCATTAGCTGGGGGAGCTTGGACCAGTCCCTGAAATGAAGATAATGATAGCTAGTGCCTGGCCACTGAAAAGGTGTTTAATAAATATTTTATGAATAGGGACATAGTGGATGATGATAGAGGGATATGATGACAAAGGAGTGTGTGTGTGTGTGTGTGTGTGTGTGTGCGCGTGCTGAGATGCTACATAAGCACATTTGACTCAAACACCTTCTGTTAACTAAGGAGGGACAGCTGTCCTGGTCCCACTTGAGTGTGCCCTTGTACCCTGAATGACACCCCTCCTGAGTGTCCAGGTTTACCATCCCTTACAAATTGTCTTTGTTCTCATTGTTCAGCTTCTTTTCCACCATGGCTTTGTTCTAGCATGCTTCCTCCACCCTCCCTGCTGCCTCCTCCAAGAATATGTTTATTTGGCTTTGCACAAGTCTGGGAACTCAGTGACAGGAATGGGGGGGTCCCATGTCACACCGCCTCAGAGCTGCTACATTACCTTAAATTGATTTTGCAAATGAAAGCTAAAAACTAAGCAAAGGCGAGCCATCCATTTTGTCTAAAGATGATTATAATGCTCTTTTACGGCCTCCTAAATGACAAAGCAGTTTGTAACCTGCCTGCATCAACATTTGCTTATATTAGCACCCGAGATGCTTGATTTTTATTAGCCCCACGTTATCATTTTATGAAGACGCAGGGGCTCGGTAAAATTAGTGTGCAAATAGAATGCCCATTTTGCATTTTCCTGTGGTCAGCAGAAATGCCGAATGCAATTGAGTTGATAGTGGGTCAGGAGAGACATTCATAAAGGTATCCTTCACCGGGGGCCCCGGTGATGCCATTTATCATTTCTGAACTGCTGAGATAGATGGCATCAGTGTTAGACAGTGTTTTTTTAAAGGGCTCGATGGCATTTTTTTTTTTATTAAGGGAAAAGCAATACAAATACCAAGAGAATAGTGAAACTTCTCCCAGGAATAAGGGATGAAAACAAACACTTTTTCTATGTTATAGATCCTGGAAATGTAGAAGATGTAGAGTCTTGCATTGTTATTGGACCCAGAGGAGACACATCAGGTGGTGAAAGGGGCACTGAGCTGGGAGCTGAGGCTTAACTACCTCTGCCGGCTACATGACCTTCCATCTGTGAGCCTCAGGTCCCTCACCTGTAAAATGGGGTCAATACTCTCCACCTCACAGAGACATGATGCAGAGTAAATAAGATGATGTGTGTCTAAATTTCTTTATGAACCATCATCTATATGAGTATTTTCTTTATTTATTAATTTAACAGCTGGTTTCTGAACGCCTGCTCCATGCAAGGTCCTGGGAAAGACATTAAAAATGCACAGTGCAAGTTGCAGTTTCTCCTTGTGGAGCTTCTATTCAGTCTAGGAAAAGGTCACATGTCTGACCATGAACTTCTTTAGAAAAGGTGGGTCTTCTCTTTCTCCCTTTGCTCCTAAAGGTGCCTAACTCAGTGCTGAGTACACAGTGAGTCCCCAGAAACATCTTCGGTCTCCATTATCTATCTTGCTGCCTTTCCTATCATTAGGGAATCAATTGACCTCACCCCAACAGACCAAGCAAGTCCCAAGCCTTTAGAATCAGGCTTCATAGAGTTACTAGCTTTTATTTTAGTATCTGACATTGATGTATCAAAAGTGGGATCATGAACTGCATTCAAAATAACCTGTCTCTAGCATTTCAGAAGCTGAAATCCTATTCCTTGTTTCTAACTACCCTCCATGGAATCCTTTAATCCAACTTCTCTCTATTTTCATTTCTGAATTCACTTCAGGTTGTTGTTCTGTTCTGGGGCAATCAGTCCTTCCTCTGCCCACGGCTAAGTACCTTCCTCTTGCCCCTTCTTTCTGGAACTGTCACTCTTGGCTACTGTGTTTGCTTAATTATATCTTTGCACAGTAGCTAAATTTTCTTATACAAGTGAGATTTCTGTAGAGGCAGCAAGAGCTTGGGCCAAGATTCAGAGCCACATTTTTCTACTTATTTGTATGGCTAGTAATTTTTATTGGATGTTGGATTTTGTGAATTATACATGGTTGAATGTCTGGATTCTGTTATCTTCCCTTAAAGAGAGTTGGGATTTATATGCCAGTCAGTTACATTTCTTTTTTCAGCTTGGTCCTTTTGAGATTTGTTTTTAAACTTGTTAGTCTAGAGCAGCGGTTCTCAACCTGTGGGTCGTGACCCCTTTGGGGGTCGAACGACCCTTTCACAGGGGTTGACTGAGACCATCGGAAAACACATATATAATTACATATTGTTTTTGTGATTAATCACTATGCTTTAATTATGTTCAATCTGTAAGAATGAAATTGGGAGTCATCACAACATGAGGAACTGTATTAAAGGGTTGCGGCATTAGGAAGGTTGAGAACCACTAGTCTAGTATTTTTCCTTCTGGGTTCTCGACTGATTGCCTGAACAATCAATGAGGGAATTCAAATGAGTCCTGGTTCTCTGTGCAGTTCACTGCTCCCTGGTCATCGTTTCATTCTCCCTCACATATTATCTGTCTGACCTTGAACAAGTTATATAGCTTCTCTGAGACTCAGTCTCCACCTCTATGAAAAGCACTATTAATGAGAATGTTTCTGTAAGGATTATAAATAATTTGTATATTGTGCCTGACATAAAAGGAGCTAATTGAAAGGCAGTTGCCACTTTTACTAATTTAAGTACTACCCTCTTTACTTAATCAGTTACTGAATATTTACTAGGCAGTATGTTAGCTTGTATAATTATTACAACAACCCTATGGAGTAGATATTATTATCCACATTGATAGATTAGCAAATTAAAACTAAGAATGGATATACAACTTGCCTAGTCAGTGGATCTGGGATTTAGTCACTCATATGACCTCTTTACATGACTTTAATATTAATATAATCAGTTGCATCAAGGAATGGGATATAGTCTTTTAATATTGAGTAGCCTGGGACATAATTAAATTAGCCAGCAATGGCTGGGCCTTAATGGTTCTAACCCAAGCATGTCAAACTCAAAAGCTTAACACAGGCCAAATAAATGAGGCATGTGGCCCACTGACGGCGAGTTTGACATGCTTGGATGATTTAAGAGAGAAATGTAAAGCATCCAGCCCATTTCCTGCTTTCTCCTTTTCCTAGTCTCAGCTTTCCTTGCCTTCCTTAACAGCCCTCTCTTATTTTATCTTCCAGACAATCTTCGGGAAGGGGCAGAGCAGAAGGTGGTATTCATCACAGGTCGAGTCCACCCAGGGGAAACACCCTCTTCCTTTGTGTGCCAAGGTGAGTAACAGGACCCCATGGGTATCCTGTGATTCCCCCCCCCACACACACACACACACTGGGGCACTGTGATGGTATCTGGGACAGTGTGGTAACACACAGAATCATTATCTTGGATGGGAATTCACTTCACTTCTAAAGAGATTACACTTGATCTTTCCTAGGATTTATTTTCAATAAATATTTACCACATGTATGTATGCATGACTGGATGAATGAGTGGATGGATGCATAAATGAACAGGGGGACCGAATGAAGTTCTCTAATATGTGCTGTGTTGACAATGAGCCGTACAGAGACACCTACACTCTCTAGCTGTGTTTTATTTGTTTCCAGTGGTTTATAACAATAATACATCTGGTCCAGGCCAAAGTGCATGTTGATGGAAGGGCAGGCAGTGAACTAGGGAATTAAGGACTAAAATTTTTCTATTCACTCATTCACTTAAGTATTCACTGAACATACAACTTTTGAAATACCTATCATGAGCAAGGAAGCATGCTTGGTGTCAGACAACCAGAGATAAATAAGATACAATGTCTCTTCTCAAATATATCTCTTTATAATTGCATTTTATTTGTTATCAAATATTTCACCTATATAAAATACATTTAATTAGTCAGCTATATAAATATGTTCAATAAGTAACATATAAGTAATAATTTAGTGAATGCCCAGCGTAAGAAGCAGAAGATTATCAATTCCTTTTAAGCCCTTTGTCCTTCCTGCCCTCCCGCTCACACAAATAACCATCAGCTTGAATTTTGTATTTGTCTTTTTTAACAGTTTTACTAAGCATGCAAGCATTCCTAAACAATGTGGTGTTAGTCTTGCATGGTTTTGAACTTTATAAAAATGGTACGGTCCTGTGTGTGCCAATACTGGTTTTCACCCAGGATCCATGTTGGTGAAGAGAGCTGTTCACTGTTTCACCACGCAGTCTACTCCACTCTGTCTGCACCTCAACTGACCTGTCTGTGCTCCTGAAGGAAGAGTTGGGTTGTTTGCAGTGTTTTCTCTTGCAAACAATGCTGATACAAATGTGCTTACACAAGTGCCTTGTGCACAAGTACGAATTCCTTCCTAGGGGGTTTAATCATGGATGTAACTGTTGGGCCGTAGACATGTGCATATTCACTTTTCCAGGTATTCGCTGCCTCAGGCAATGCATCGGAGCTCCTGGTGTCCTGCATTCCTGCTAACACTGTTGCACTTTTACCTATCTATGGGTGTGCTATATATAAACTACATGATACTATATATGTGCCTAGCATTGTAACATGTCAAATAAAATACACATTTTATTTTAATTATCTAGTTTTATTAATTTGACTTAATTTGTTTTCACTATATGAGTTTTTCAATGTCAGAGGAACTAATATGAGAAAATTGAAGTTAAGAGAAGTTAAGTAATTTATCTCATTTTAGTCTCAAAGTGATCATGAGGTTAAAGGGATAGGAAAAACCACAAAGGTCACACAACTTGAGGGAGATGGCCTGCTGCCGGGGAAGTACCTGGTGATTTGCCATGAGATAGGCGCGGGGTCAAATGTCGGCTCTGCCACTTCCTCGCAGTGTGACACAGCTTCCTGGACTGTGAAATAGGTTAGGAAACCAATCCCTGTCTGAAGGCTGTGATGGAGCTGGCCTGGGGTGGATGCACACAAACACCCTGTCCTATAGGTGGCATCCAGCAGGCACACAGCAGGTGCCCCTCCTTCCTCATGGGGAGCTGAGGGGGTGAAGCAGCTAATCCGCTTTGTACACTGCGAGGCATTATGCAGATAAATATGGGGTCTGTTTTCCCCATTCGCATTTTTGCAGCACTGTGATTGGACATAACCGCCTGCCTCGATGTTTCAGGCAAGGAGACAGTTTCAGGGAGAGAAGGTGATCCCCCAGAGCCAAGCAGCTCAGACGAGGCACAGCTGGGCTGTCTCACCTCCTCGCTCCAGTCACCTTAGCTTACTCCTTGGCATTCTCACTTCCAGCACTGTCCTTGCCATAACCTCTCCCAGGTCCCTCTTGGTTTTGCGGCAGCCATCTGTCAGTTACTAAACTTGGCAGCAGACCTGTTCCCCCAGCTAATCGGATGCAACTATTGAGTCCTTTGTAAAAAGGCAGCAGCCGTACCATCAATACTTTCTTCTCGGGGAGCTTAGACTCCCATGCCCACCTCCTCTGTGCTCAGTGGACAGAGGGCAGGGCCGCCTCCCATTTTATAGGCGAGGCCTGAGGCACAGAGTTGGGTGGAGCTCGGGTGCTCTCTCTGTTGGCCCTGCTTTTCCAAAAAGGAACCTGGATGGTGCTGAGTTGATAGATCCAGTGCTGTCCTGTAGGCTTTCAATCAACGTTTACTCCTTGGCAGAGCCTTTTAATGCCTCCCCTGTACTTTCTCAAGATAAACTCCAAACTCTTTGCATGACATTCACCCTTCATGATCTGGCTCTTGCCAGGTTCTCTGGCCTCAGCCTTATTATATCCCAGCCCCACACAACTTAATCCCTGAATGGACAATCCTCTCTCCACTGCTGAGCTTTTGCACCTGTTACTCCTCTGCCTGCTGCTCCTTGCCACTTGGCAAACACTTCCCATAGCCCAAGGTTTATGTCAGATGCCACTTGTGGGCCCCTGGCACACACTCTGTAGCCCCTTACTTTATGGCTGCTTTAGAGGTTACCTGACAGTCACCTTTATTGCCCTTATTTGTCATATATTAGAGTTATATTGTTTCTTCCCTTTTAAACCATGAGCTACCAGAGGCCTAGGGCTGGGTCTTCAAATGTCCTTTTCTATATCTGTAAAATGGGTATTATTTTGCTTATCTCCTGAGGCTGTGGTGAGGGACACATGATGTGTTGGCTCTGGGATGCTAAATCTGAGGTCAGGAAGAGGAGCCTCAAAGTCACATAGCCAGAAGGGGGCCGAAGGGCATAGAAGGGGCCGCAGGGGACAGAAAGAGGGAGAAGGGTGCAGAAGGGAACCTAAGGGGTTTTTGAACCTGGGTCTCCCAAGCCTGTTCATGCCCCACTCAGCAATGGGAAACGCTAGAAGGCCAAGCTCCTGCCAGGAGAACACAGCTCTCTGGACATCCCACAGCAGTGGATGTGCATGTTACAGAAGAGGGTGAGGCTCAGAGAGCAAAGTGGCTTGCCCAAGGCCACACACTAACTCATGGCAGGTGTGGCGTAGGCCCCTCTCCCCAATCCTGCCTTCATCTTTCCCATCCCTGACTGTCCCTCAGGACACACAGTTCCTCCTTCCTGGAGGCAGCTTAAGTCAGGCATCCTTTCCCCATTGCCAGAGAGAGACTGAGGCACAGTCTTCCCCAAGGGTTTCTCAGTCCCCACAATGGCTCAGCTGGGCTTTCTTCCCCAGACCCAGCCCTCCCCCAGGTCCCCTCCCCTGCCCACCTGGTTGTGGGGAGGGCAGACTGACCCAAGGCCTGGAAGGATGATGTCTGGTACCTTCGTTCTGTTCACTTCTTCCCCATTAACTGGCTCAGTGACCTTGAGTGGGGAACAGACATGTGGGCCTGGTCGCCCCATCTGGCTGGGACCAAGGTTCTCACCGCAAAGCTGCTGACACACCTGCTGCTGGGAGCAGAGCGGAGCCTTGTCCTCGCAGAGCTCCGGAGGCGGTGGCGGGAAGGGAGGCAGAGGTGCTTGGCGGTGGGATGGCTGCTTCTCAGCCACCCCTCTGCCACCTCAGACCCTCTCCTGGCCTCTGTGAGGACACACTCTCCTTGTTCATCAGCCACAAGGTGCTCGGTGTTGCCCTGGAGTAGAGCGTGTGTGGCATGGTCTCAGGAGCTATGTGGCCTGGGATTGGATCCCAGCTCTTCCTCTTAGTACAGTGTGACCTTGGGGATGTCCCCTAACCTCTCTGTGCCTCCATTCCTTTACCTTAAAGGGAAATGATAGTAGGAATCCTGCCTCCTAGTGTGGCTGTGACTGTGTAATGAGTTAGTGTTCACATAACACGTAGGACAGTGCCTGGTGTTCAGCAGGCCTCCGTACATGCTATCAAGAGGGAGGTAATGGCTAACTGAGCACTTGCAAGTGCAGGTATGGGCCCACTAACCCTCATCATGAACCAAAGCCCAGCGTGTGACTTCCATCCGCCACTTCCTTACCGCCCTCCTGAGAGCTGTTACCGAACCCTCCTCTGTATGTGGGGGAAGACCACATTGCACATCAGCTGGCTGGCAAGGACTAGACCTCAGCTCTTCCTCCTGGTGCTTTTTTGTTAAAGCCCCTCCATGATTCAGATCCTTCATAATTGAATTAATTAGACCTACACTGTGGGATGACACTGCAGGCAAGGCACATCCCCCTGGAGGGCAGCATGGGCAGTGGGCACAGCAGGGGTCTGCACTTGGGCAGGCCTGAGTCTGAGTCCTGCCACTTCCACCTCCCAGCCGGGGACCTTCAGCAAGTCCTCAATCCTCCTAGAGCCTCTGTTTCTTCACCTGCAAAAGAGGGGTAGCTGAATAGTCCTCACGGAGCTACTGGGAGGGCAAACGAGACCATGTATGTCAGGCTCAGGGCAACATCAGGCATGTGGAGGTGCCACTATGCTGACTCTCTCTTCCTCTCACTCTTCTCAGTAATCCTACCAGGTCATTGGGCATCTCTCAGCCTTGATCTTCAGAAAAGCCAAAGGATTCACTACATGTCAACTAGTAGAGGGGGGACCAAACCAGGTCTCCTGTCCCACAGCCCAGACCCTGCTGCTATGTGCCAAGGTGCCCACCAGGCCCTAGACTGGTGTAGAGCTGACCTTCCCTCTTGGAGGTCATGCCTCAGGTTGTCTTGTGGGAGTAAGAGGATTAGCAAGGAGACCCACAGATACACACATACACACTCACACTCACGGCCTTCCTGCCTCCAGCTTTCCTGCCATCCTGCTTTCTCCCACCTCCCTGATTCAATCCTCTGGAAGGAAAGGACCCGGAAAACTTTTAAAGGGACAGACCAATCTTATGGGGCTGATAGTGTCTCCCAGCAGGAGGGAGATTATTCTCCTCGCTTGGCAGAGGAGGGTTCTTCTGCTCCCGAAGAGAGGAAAGAAATAGATGGAATCCGAGATTGTCAGTGCGGGTGCACTCTGGGGAGTTTCTGAGTTCTTTCTTCTTATTGTAAAGACAAGAGTGGGCCCACCAAGCAAAACTGGGGCCCAGGGGCTCTGATTGCTGGTTTGTGGCTTTTCCAATTCAGTATCGTGTCCCCAAATCCCATAGTCATTAAACTTCACAGATCAGGACTCCTAGATCTAAACTCCATTCTGTTTTTCACTTTCCTCCATGTCTTTCAACCTTCGATCTAAGTGACTTTCTTAAAGCACATTACAATTTTAAGCTGCTGTGTCAGGCCAGTCACAGAACAGCCTTTCAGATTAGTATTATTATGCATATGTCGATATAAGTTAACTGGTCAGAGAAAGCTGGTAACTTCTCTAGCTAACAACCAGTCATAATTTGAATACAGGTCCCAAGTCCATGCTCTTTCCACTACCCCCGCCCATGCAATGCGTTCCCTCTCCACTCTTTACTTTCCCCAACATTTCTCCTCATATTCCTCTCCACTTCCCACCTTTCCCACCAAAACAATGCGGAAGGTCCCCTCCCAGTTTCCCGACCAATCGGAATGATGCCCGTTGAACTGTATCTGACCTCAAGCCAGGAGATGGGTCTGAAACCTCTCCTCTGCATCCCCACCCTCACACTGGGAGCCAGAGCTCAGGGTGGCTGCGGCTTTTGGTCTGGCTTTGTTTTCTCTCATCATCTTATTAGCTGCCTAATTGGCAGCCCAATTAATCTGTTCATCTGTGAAGGAGGATGGATCACAATGAGCTACTCTGTTTCCAGAAGCCATTCTCTGAGGCAGCGTGGCCAGACCCTGAGCGCAGGCTGGCTCCTTGATGAAGGGCCGCCCCGGGAGCCGGGGTCAATTAGTGGACAGATTAAGCAATTATGAGCCCCTAACAAGGGTGCCTGGCATCATTACCCTGCCTGTTTACTGGCAAACTGCAGCTTTAGCATGAAGACCAACAAATAAATTAAGGCATCTGGTCTACTGCTGCATCGGCCGAGGAGTAAATGATGTCCAACTGGCTTGTGGCTGCCCATCGATTCTCGGCCGTGGCCTAATGAAAAGCCTGAGCCATCCCTCACTGGTCCCAGCAGCTCTGGAACGCGCTCTGGAGTGGAGCATCACTCCAGGAGCTACGTGCCTGCCGCTGGGCATGGGGACTGTTCTCAGTCACCCTGCCGCCTCCTCCTGTCCGTCTGTCACACCTACTCTTCCAGGGCCCAGCTCAAAGCTTCTTCTCCCTGGTGAAGGATACGAGTTGCTCTTCTGCATTTTGGGAGGGTTGTGTACTCTCTACTACTTTCCAGCATCACAGTCATTTCATGGGATGCCAGGGTGCCATCTTGCCCATTGTTTTTGGTCTTAGATGAAGAAGCATTGAAAGAGGAAGGTGAGGGCAAGGGCTCAGCGTTGTTTTTTCACCTCCTCTCCTGTGGATGCATGCAGGCCATGACCAGAGGACATCAAGGAGGGAGTGGCAGGGTCAGACTTGCACTTTAGGAAGATCCCCTGGCTGCAGTGTTGGAAGGCACCTGTCAGAGGCATTGGCTGTCATCCAGACCAGATGTGGTGGTGGCAGAGAGCAGAAGAGAGGCAGAGGATGGGATGAGGGCAGCTTTGCTAGATTCAAAGAAGAGACTTGGGGATGGCCTGACTGGGGAAGGAGAGTCATGGAGAATTCAACATTTCTAAATTTAGTGACCTGGAGGCAAGGTGGTGTTGGTGCTAGTGAGAAGCAAAGAGGGAATCTGGAACAGAGGACCCTCAAGGTGGGGAAAGGGACATTGGGGAACACTGAAGGAACCTCTCTCCTCATGTGACTTTAGCCAGATCCCTTCTCCCCCCTGCTTCCTGGTGTGCCCATCCTCAGCATGAGGATCCAGACCCCCAAGTCCCCTGACCCCATAGTGATCAATTTGATGTCAGTATTTAGCGGACTTCGTCTCTGTCTGTCAAAACCCTGAGGGCTCTCCAAGGCACAGCTCAAATGCTATCTTTTCTTGGAAGCAATCCCTGTGCTCTCCACAGGAAATGGCCTCTCCATCCTGTCCTTGGGCTTCTATTTTACATCTTGACCTATCTCTTGGAAACAGAGATCTATATTTATAAAATTCCCCAGGCAGCACCTAACCCATAGTCCTACGTCCACAGTGGCTAACAACATAGACCCTAGTCCCCTACTGAGCTCTCACTATTTTCCAAGCTGAGGATGATGTGCTCCCTCCTTTAAAACCCTTTGAGGTCAACCCAGATGCTTCTCTTTCCCTAGGGATCATTGACTTCCTCATAAGCCAGCACCCAATTGCTCGTGTCCTGCGGGAACACCTGGTCTTCAAGATTGCACCAATGCTCAACCCTGATGGAGTCTACCTGGGCAATTACAGGTGAGTGACGGGACAGGATGCTCGGAAGCTGGTAGTTGCAGGATGGTGGTATGGAAGCAATGAGAAAAAGGGGATGTATTTTTGAGGAAGGGTTTTCAGACTTCCCATGAGTTCATTAGAGGAAGTTCTCCCTGGCTCTTGAGAATGTGGCTGATGAGCCTTGGCTCGTTCATGCTCAGCCGCCTGAGGTATCACTTGCTGGGGTTTTCTGAGCAGCTTGCTGGACCAGGAATCAAGTGCCTACTATCAGTTTTGGCACCTACTTCCAACGTAACCTTAGGGAATTCACTTCCCCTCTGGCGCCCAGTTTCTCTTGTGTAATGGAGACAATAATTACTTACCTGGCAAGGTATCTGTGAGCATCAGAAGAAATGGTGGTGATAACTGTTCTTTGCAGAATATCATATGGTGGTTATAATGATTGCTGTTTCATTTCTGTGTTTCTTCTTGGAGGCCATTAATGAGGGAATGGCACCCCAGATCATCTGAATAGCATTTCTGTGTTTTGGGCTTACCAGCTAGCCCCACACTCACTCATGCACTCCCGTCTTGAGTTCTCTTTCTCTGGTGCGCCATAATTTATAGCCTAAATTCCACTGCTCAGGAGTTATCTGCTGAAAGGACATTGGATCCTCTCAGATAGTGTTCTTGCTCTTATTTCACAGTTGAGGCCACTGATTCGCCCAAAGTCACACTCAGTAAATCACTGACTGTCTAACTTCTCTGCCCCAATTATATAGCTCTGTTGTTTATGAGTTCAACAACAACTCTCAAGAAAACATTCAAAGGGCTGGGCTTTCTTGAAAGGCTCTGAATGACCTGGTGTCCATCTGTCTGTCTACTGTGCTGCCTCACCTCCCACACCGCACTCTTAGAACCATTGCTGTGGCCACACTAAGCAAAGCCTTGTTCCCTGGATGTGTCCTGCTGGTCTCTGATCCCTTACTCTCTGCCCAGAACCCCCTTATCCCTTCTTCACCTCACTCACCCCTCTTCACAACTCATGCTGTTCCCCTTCTTCTGGGAAACATTCCCTAATCCCCCAAACAGAATTGGTCACAGCCTTCTCTGGCCTCCCACCAGCCTGGTTATTGAGCAAGTTTTATCCCATTGCATGGACACCACTGACCCTCCAGCCACCAGAGAGCAGGGACTGAGCCCTAATGGTCTTTGTGTATACCCCAGCACCTGGCAGCAAGGGCCAGCACATAGTAGGTGCTCAAAGGGTGTTTGATGAATATGAGAGAAGAAATGCAATGACTCAACTGATGAAGAAACTGAGGCCCAGAGATGAGATGGGACTTGCCCAAAGGAGTGGCAGAGCTCAGACCAGAACCCAGGTTGTCTGGTGCCAGCCAGCTTCACTTCAAACAGAGCTGGGTTGCTGCTTTCCAAGAGCATGGCAATTCAGTCCAGAGGGGCCTCCTGATCCCCCTGGGTATGAGTTAGAGAGAGCCCACGGGATGCATGATGCCTTAATTAAAGACAGTTTTGCTTCCTCTCTTAATTGGCTCGAGTGATGGTTCATTAGCACTGGCAAGTTTTACGGCTTGCTGTGGGCCTGAGTGCCGTGCGGTTCTCCTCCCAGGACAGAATGCTGTTAGTGATGATGGTGGTGGAATGACCGTTTGATTTATGTTAACATTTCTGTTTAATTACAAGAGCGGCCGTGGTCAGAGGGAGGTCAGTGATGTCCACACACACAGTTATGTCGTCCTCTGCCCTCCAGGGAGGATGCACTGGAAAGAGGTCTGTGACCTTGGCCAGGATGCCGCCCCTCCCTGGGATGGCCAGGGGGGTGGTGATGAGGAACCAGATGCGTTAATATGTCTTCGAGCTCCAGATTTTGTGATTTGGGATTTCAAGATGAAAGAGCTCCAACCCTCAGAAGTGGTTCTGCCCTGAAGTTTAAACCCCCAGCATCCTCCAAGTGAGAATGTGTGACTCTCATTAAGAGAGCAGGAGGAAATCTCTAACCACAGGCATTAATCTGTTGCTAAAACAGCTCTGAGTAGCAACAAAAGAGCCTATCAGTCACAGAAATTCACTACCAGATGTGGAAAGTGTGCAAAGTAATATAGTAAAGACTCAGAACTGAGAGCCCCAAGGTACCTTGGAGGTCCCCGAGACCAGCCCCTCCCGAGCCCCGCCCCTCCTGAGCCCCCCACTGATACAGCAGCGGTTCCCACAGTTTGCTGGGACTTCCCATGGCATTATGGGAGCTGGGGGGAAGAATTCAGAGCTCGAGTAAGTTTGGGGAACACAGAGCTGAGAAAAGTTAAACATGTCCTTTTACAATAAGATTTTTCAGTTTCAAAAATGCTAATAAACTGGAATCTGAAGAAGGGAATATGTATTTAGTGTTCTCCAAATGTGCGTCAGGGAACCCTTTTCCTATGGAGCTTGTTCCCCCACCCCCTCCCCATACACTCCCCCAGGGGTGTTAGGGTTTATAAAACACATTGCAGGAAATGCCATTTCAAGAATTCTGTTTGCTCACCCAGCCCATGTCAAGCTCTCCCACACTTATTTCATCCTTATAGCCACCCTGTGAAAGGGGGGGGGGGGGGGGGCGGTGTCTTTGTTAAAATTTCCATGCTTGCAAATAATAAAAATCTCAAATTAGCTTGAGTATAGGAGGAAAGGCAGGGAGGAGGGGGCATAGGACAGAGGAAGGGAAGGAGGAGGGGAGGGAGGAAGGGAGGGAAGGAAAGAAAGAAGGAAGGGAGAGAGGGAGGGAGGGAAGAAGGAAGCTTATCACTTAAAGTATATAGACTCATAGAGACAGAAGGCAGAATGGTGGTTGCCATGGGTTGGGGAGCAGGGGTGGGGAGGTATTGTTTAGTGGGCATAGACGTTCCGTTTTATAAGATGAAAAGAGTTTTGAAGAAAGATGATGTTGATGGTAGCACAACAATATGAATGTACTTAATACTATTGAACTGTATCATTCAAAATTATTAATGTGGTGAATTTGATGTTATGTGTAGTTTACAATAAAAAAAAAGTAAGAATGGTATGGCTGCTGATGCAATGCGAGCATCTTCCTAGGTTCTGGGGGAACTGGAGGCCTAGAGGTCTTGCAGGATGAATACTGTAGCTTCAGGTGTTGCAGAGCCAAGAAGGTGTAAGGCAACTCCTGGTGGAAGGCCGTTGGGTTGGAGCGGGGCCTGGTCCCTCCATCAGTGGCTGCCCATATGCGTTGCAGCGTTTGTACTGTCTCTCTCTGTCTCTGCTACCTCCTCCCCATCACTTCCTTGGCAGAGAAGAAAGCCTCCGCCTCTACCTGTGCCCCCTGTGTTCTCTTCTGAGCGTGCGGAGTGCACAGGTTGCCTTGCATTTGAGAAACAGACTCTCCATCTCCATCTGACAGCAGGACTCTGTGGTGGGTTTGCATTTCTTAATTAGGTGCTTGTCATTGTGTATTCCATAGAGCCACGTATAAGTAAACAGCCATAGACCTTTGAATAAATTTATTGGTTTTATTTATGTTTCTGGGCATAAAAAAATCTATAATTACCAGGTACAGCCTCAGTATAACTGGTATTTAATGACAATTACTTTTTGTTGCCATAGAAATGAGTCCAAAGTAGTTACCCATAATTTCTCATTTCCCAAACCTCACACATGCTGGATTGCAATATTACCATAGTAATTGCCTATTAGTCATCATAAAATACGCAGTTACCCAAAAGATAGCAAGGGGCTGTGAAATTTCTCATCTTCAGGAAACCTCGCTGCTTCTTGGGAGTGTGGCGGCGGGGCGAGGCGCAGACTCCCCGGGTGGTGAGCGTGATTCCGCTGTGTAGATGGCTCCACGGTGGAGAGATGCTGCCACGCTCTGCAGACCGCGCCTCCTTATGTCTCTTGGCCCTGGCACTCCTCATGCCACAGAGGATGCGCGAGTGCAGTAAATCCAATTTAACTAAGGTTTGTGGAGGGCCTGCTGAGTGCCAAGGCCCAGGCGGGGCTCGGGGAAGCCGACGGCAATCAGAGGCAGCCCTTCTCCATGAGAAGCCCTGTGTTTGGACTAGAGCAGTGGTTCTCAACCTTGGCTGCACATTAGAATCACCTGGGAATCTTTTTAAAATCCTGATTTCTGGGCCTCATCCTCCGGAAATTCTGTTTCTTTGTTACTAATGCTGTGACCCCACCCCATAACAAAGAAACAGAATTTCCGGAGGATGAGGCCCAGAAATCAGGATTTTAAAAAGATTCCCAGGTGATTCTAATCTGCAGCCAAGGTTGAGAACCACTGGTCCAGAGGGTGTGTGAATGATGCTATGGAGGCCTCGTCTAACGTCTAAGTGCCTACAACTGTACGTCCTCTATATCATCACATGTGACCCTCTCAGCAGCCCTGCGATGGAGGTAGCATTGTAGCCCCATTTTAAATAGAGAAGGAAACGGAGGCACAGAGGTGCCAAGGAGCCTGCCCCAGGTCCCTCTGCGGGAAGGGCAGAGCAGGTTGGTGAACCAGGCAGGCCCATCGTAGCCTGCCACAGATTTCACCCCCACGCTGCTGCTCCTGAAAACAGGAGGGCTGCCCTCTGACCAGTGATGAGGGTGGGGTTTTGAAAGATGGAGGGTATATAGGAGTTCACCAGACATAGAAGGGAGATAAAGAGAGATTTGTACAGCAAAACAGCGTTAACGATGGCAGAGGGTGAAACACCAGGGAGCTATTTCCAACACACACACACACACACACACACACACACACACACACACACACACTATAACTGTCTGGCTTTGCCCACTTCAGCAACCAAAGAAGGAAATATTTTGAACTGGCTAAAACAGAACAGAACATAAAATGAGCTGTGTGAAATACATGTCAATATCCCCTTTGTTCTCTGACAGCATAACAACTGTGCATTTTATTTTTCATCAAGTAAAAACGGAAAACAAACATCCGCTGCAAGGATTCCTCACAGGAAGACCTGCTGGCCCCTCTCCCTGAGCCTCCTTCCCAGCCGACCATGTTTCAGCCACATGGT